AGGCATTACGAGTTAATTTACAAAACTGTTTGTGCTACTCGTATGTATTTCCACGACGTTTACATGTTAGTAATTTGTGACAATCATATGGTATCTGATCGCTATACTAGTAATATATAAACACGAAGCGTCTTCGTGTTTCTTCTTCAAATTTGGCTTCACGGCTAATTTTGATTCAGAACCTGCATGCGTACTGCAGACGTTTCAGGGTGCCGCTCGGAAATGTCTAAACCAATTCTAACGTCGTGATTTTGCTGGAAAGATGTCTTCAACGCTGACGGCATATCGCTACTTAAACACGAGTAGCTAGAAGTTTTCTGTCGGCGCTCGTTTCCTTTCGAGAAATGTAAGTTAATCGGTTGAAAAATGACTTCTGTATGTTTTTAATCGCAGGCCATTCACTTTAATATGAATATCTCATAACCGTTTGCTTTTTAATGTGCATTGGACAGATATTTTGGCATCAAATTGGCAATATGTCTGCACTTGGCGCACTACCCATCTAACAATTTGTCATTTTTAACGAGGAGAATACGAGGGAAATAGGGGTCAACTTCCCTCAATTAATGAGGTCTGACGAAGACTCTGGATTTTGTCAGCGGATACAGCACATGACCAGACTATCAATCCCAGAGCAACAATATCGTGTTGTTCACTTGTGTCATTCTTACAACTTTTCTCCACAGTTCAGCTCTTCGCACGAAAGGGGATCATTCTGTAATAATGCGTTTTTTTTGCCAGCACCGTATGAGGCAAATAATATAGCTTACGTGTGTCGAGTGGGTAAGGCTTGACACAGTTTGAGAGCTATTGCACCCACGGCAATGAGAATTGAAGAATTTGGCGAGCGATACAAGCTTTAAAAACTACATCGATCAGGTTAGGGTGTCATGGAGTTACGTGTTCTGCTTTCCTGTATCATTTGTGATGAATTGAGGATTACCAGCGTGGTGGTGTTTATGCTTGAAGTTGCTTTGTATTATCTGCGGATGATACGATTTCGGATGGGATTCGTTTATTGTATCGTGCCTGTGGTCAACAATCTTGTTAATGAGGCAACGGCTGCTTATCAATTCGCTCGCGTAGTCGAGTCTTAGTCTTCATTTTCGCCAACAGTTCGCGCATCGAAATGAAGTCTATCATTGGTCTCACCGCTGCTGCCTTCGCAATCACTTCTGCCGACCCGTCAACCCCACAGGCCCAGCGTCAGGATCAGCCGAAACGCCGACGCAGACGTTGATCGACGGGTCAAGCAAGTCTACAGAGGCCTCTAGTGAAGCGACACCATCGTCTCATGACTCCTCGGTAGGCAACGATGCGTTGCGTTGTTCCAGCAAATGCCTCGACGTGTACAGTCCTGTACTGGGCGACGACGGCATCATGTACCCGAGGTACTGCGCCATAGAGCTGGCGAAGTGCGAATAGAGCGGCAAGGAAGACGATTGGTACGCACGCTACAAGGAGCTGTACGGCTCGAGTCGCGCAGGACACGATGACCACAGTGGTTATCGTCGTCCCTATCCATACTACTCATTCGTCGTCCCTATCCATACTACTCATTCGATCATGAAACGCCGTCCACAGATGTTTAAGCGTGTGTGAAGCTTACAGGCTACGCCAGACTTCATCGCGGCACGTATCCATCTAAACCATCGCGAGTAAGCAAAAAATGACAACACCTTCGTCGTTGACTTCATGTACTCACGCTCCAGTACTTCTCCGCGCCACGATAAAACTAGGTAGCAGCACGGGATAGGAAAGTGTATGCTTTGATGGCGAGAGTTCTTCTCGTCTCAATACTCGCGCATGGCCCTTAAGGCTGTCTCCGCTACATCTTGGGCGGTTGTAGACGACATCGGTTTGCACATGACGTATCCGGAAAACATATCTTGGAACAGTAACAGAAAGGTGTTAC